GAAGGAGGTCTGAGGTGTGAGTCTGGTGGTTCTGGTCTGTCTCAGGTTCAGTTTTATCAGATGGCTCAACATGAAGTTCTGGAACCAGAAGACTGCTCTCTCTTAAACCTTTAGTCTTCGACTTCAACATGAAACTTTAACATCCATCTTCCTCCTCTTATCCGGGGTCAGTTCGCGGTGGCAGCAGCCCAGCAGGCTGACCCAGACCTCCCTCTTCCCCGGCAACATGTTCCAGCTCATTCTGGGGGATCCCGAGGCATTCCCAGGCCAGCTGGGAGATGTAATCCCTCCAGCGTGTTCTGGGTCTTCCCCGGGGTCTCTTCCCAGTTGGACGTGCCTGGAAAACCTCCAGTGGGAGGCGTCCAGGAGGCATCCTAATTAGATGCTGAACCACCTCAGCTGACTCCTTTCGACACGAAGGAGTAGCGGCTCGACTCCAAGTTCCCTCCTGATGACCGAGCTCCTTACCCTATCTCTAAGGCTGAGCCCGGCCACCCTACGGAGGAAGCTCATTTCGGCCGCTTGTAGCCGCGACCTTGTTCTTTCGGTCACGACCCAGAGTTCGTGACCATAGGTGAGGGTAGGAACGTAGACCGAGTGGTAAATTGAGAGCTTTGCCTTCCGGCTCAGCTCCCTCTTCACCAAGACGGTCCGGTGCAGCGCCTGCTTTACTGCTGCAGCTGCACCGATCCGTCTGTCGATCTCCCGCTCCATCTTACCCTCACTCGTGAACAAGACCCCGAGATACTTGAACTCCTTCGCTTGAGGTAGGCCCTCCGTCCCCACCTGGAGGGAGCAATCCACCGGTTTCCGGCAGAGAACCATGGCCTCAGATTTGGAGGTGCTAACTCTCATCCCCGCCGCTTCACACTCGGGAGCAAACCGCCCCAGTGAATGCTGGAGGTCACGATCCGAGGAGGCCAACAGGACCACATCATCTGCAAACAGCAGAGAGGCGATCCCGAGACCCCCGAACCTGACGTTCTCCACCCCTACTTAAACTTAAACTTAAAAACTTAAACTTAAAACAGCCCCAGCTGCTCTCATGAAGGTGTGAGCTCTAAGAGTGAAGGATGTAACGTGGAGGTTAGAGGAACATGAGATCAACAGATCCTCTTACACCCACTCATATGATATCTCATGACCACTTCCTGTCCCTTATTATAGTTCTTAACAAAGATGGCTGACACACTGAAGGACAGCTGGACCTCCTCGGGGGTCTGAGGTCATGTCGCCCCCCCCCCCCCCCTGTGTCAATGATCCGGTCTCTCAGTGACCCTGTTAAGGATCCGGTCTCTCAGTGACCCTGTGAAGGATCCGGTCTCTCTGTGACCCTGTTCCTTGCTGCACCCTGGTCCTCCACACCCTCAAACAGGAACTGGTTTTTCCATCAGCTGAACAGTTGGTGGATGAATCATGACCCTCCAGAGAGACTATTCATTAAAACCAGCACAACCTGAGAGATTGGATTAGTTCATCTTAAGGCCTCTTGTTTATTACATCACACCATCCCTGGCCTCTGATTGTCTGTCACAGGTCACTTTGAATCAGACATGCACTTTAAACCAACAGCTGTGTCCTGAAATATTCATATATTCATATCTAATGTCACGTAACACAGAACTCACAATACCCATGAGCCTCAGCTGCTATTGGTCATTGAAGTAACAAAACCAGTCATAAAACCAGTCCAGAAGAAGAGCACCAGTATACATGTATGTATATTGTGTATATTGTGTGTGTGTGTGTGTGTATATATATATATATATATATATATATAATATACATACACATGTATGTGTGTGTATATATAGAATCATGTGCTC